GATGGGCCTAATGCATACGTCGTAGGGTTTCTTGACTGCTGCTTCCATCTGAATCCATTTATCTCTCATGACAACTCTGTGAGGAGGAGCTGTCACCACTTGTTAGATGAGATGAGGAAGGCCCAAGAATCAGACTTCAGACTCACATCTAGACAGTCGTAGTCAGTATCCAAAACCAGAAACAGTGAAGTTTCCAAGTTCATTCTTGGATTTTCAAAATTTCACTCAAGATTTTCCAGTTACAATTTATGACTGTGTTTCAACTAAAGCACACACGAACTAATTAACATTTAGTAAAATATGGTAAAAAAAAAAAGTTACCGGTACCTGAGCATTGGTCTTGGTGGAGGTGGAGGTTCATCGGGATCTTGGCACCTTTTAGCTTTTTTAGTGACTTGTTTGTAGATGTTGCGGGCTGTCACTCCTACCCAGAGTACTGTGGCAAGAGTAGAATAATGAAGAATTATTCCAACCTAGAGAGAAGATTTAAGAATAAATACACAATGGGAAAAAAGTGGGGGAAGTGAACACCAGCAAGTGTAGTAGTTTCCATTAAAGCTTCTAGAAATTACTTGTATTAACTTTCAAATACCAGGTTCAAAATAGGGTTAAAGGTGTACTTTAGTGCTAGATTACTTTTCCTGCTAATGAAACAGACGTATAATAGAGGATTCTATCCTTTAATGCACAAACCAGTAGATGGAATCAGAAGGTTGATACATCTATGACTTGTACCCATGTTGTTGTTAAGTGTCGAGTTAGTTCTGATTCACAGCGACCCTGTATAAGGTTTCCGAGGAGCAGCTGGTAGATTTGAACTCCCAACCTATGGTTTGAAGTGCAGTGCTGATCCTACAGTGCCACTCCAGGAGTCCCTTAGGCCCATGTTGTTGTTGTTGTTAAGTGCTGTCGAGTCGGTTCAGACCCATAGCAACCCTGTATAGGGTTTCCAAGGAGTGGCTGGGGAGCTTGAACGGCTGATGTTGTGGTTCAAATGACCTTGCAGTCCAGTGCATTAATCCATAGTGTTATTCCAGGACTCCCCTTATACCTATTGTTGTTGTTGTTGTTGTTGTGAAGTGCCGTAGAGTTAGTTCCGACCCATAGCGACCCTGTATAGGGTTTCCGAGGAGCAGCTGGTGAGCTTGGACCACTAACCTTGCAGTTCAAACGGCTTTGCAGTCTGGTGCATTAACCCACAGTGCCACACCAGAACTCCCCCCTTATACCCATAGGTGACCCTTAATATACCACTGAATTAGCTCCCAGACAACAAGAAACCAAGGGCATGTTTCTCATAGTTGTAATGCTATGAATTATTTCCATTTATACTCCATGTTAAAGAGACACATAGCAGGCAGGAGATAACCAAAGGGTAGGCGCCATAGTACACAGAACAGACGTGTTAGATTAAAGAACCCAAGTTATAATTCAGACCAATAGAAGCATGGGGGATAAAGAAAGCAAGCTCTACTTACAGCAAAGTGATGAAAACTTCTTAGATCTTATCAAACATCTCAACGCTATAAATTGCTGGACCTGGGGACTCAGGACCACAGTCTCAGGGAACACCATGGTCAACTGGCATAACATAGTTCACAATGACAATGTTCTACACCCTATTTTGATGAATCATTCTGGGATCTTAAAAGCTTATGAGTGGCTATCTAAGCAGCAACTATTGGTCTCTCCATGAAAGGAACAAAGAAGAGTAATGAGAATTGAAGATGTTTAGAGTCAATGAATCCAGTGGACCAATAGAACACGTGAACATCAGTCTTCACAATTCTGAGACCAGAAGAACTAGATGGTGCCCAGCTACCACTATCAACTGTTTTGAAAGGGATCATTAAAAAAAAAGAACTAACCTCCTGGTCAGATATAGACTGGAGGAACCTGAGACTATGGCCCTCGACCACCCTTCAGATCTGGAACCGAACTCATGCTAAGGGCCCAATTGTCAGCTAAACAGTCGGTCTCTAGTGGGAACCGCAGCACTAGTATGGTGCGCTCACCATGGAATGGTCAATCATTCAACTGCAACTTTGACGGTTTGGGTAGTGCGTCAACAGGCATAAATATCAGGAAGATACAGGTATTCAAGTATGACAACATTCATTCTCTATACGGTGGAGCTACCTAAGAAGCATGTTTATCATATGCACTGTGTTTGAAGCAACTCTAGCTGAAGATGGGAGTTTCAGGTGAAGATAATGAGTAGCCCAAGAGAAGCATAAAAGCAATTTAAACAAGAAAATGCATATGGCACTGGAGCATCCAAGACCTAATTCAGTCTCTGCAACTATGTAAATCCGTGCTGTCATTTCAGTCATTCCTTCTTTTATAGTGAGTTATGGTATTGGAGGAGAATGCTGAAAGTACCATGGGCTGGTACAATCAGTGTTGGAAGAAATACAGTCAGAATGCTCCTTGAAAGCTAGGATGGCCAGACCTGTTCTCTCATACTTCAGACATATTAACAGGAGGGACCAGTCCCTGGAGAAGGAAAGGATATCATGCTTAGTAAAGTGGAGGGATGGAGAAAAAGAGGCAGACCCCCAACAAGATGGACTGGCACAGTGGCAGCAGCAATGGGCTCAAATACAGCAATGATTGTGAGGTTGGCGCAGGACCGGGCACAGGGTCGCTATGAGTCGGTACCAACTCGACCTAACAACAATAGTAAAATTCTATGACGGAAAACTTCTTAGAAGAAATTTCTCATTAGAAATGAACAGCTCACTACTGTCAAGCAAATCAAATTGATGGATATTATCAAATCTGTGACACAAATCAAAACATTGCCTGCCTGCCAGAGTTCATTTTTGTGAGAACCAATCTGTAATGAAAGCTTGGTAACATCAAAGTCCAAGTATATTGTGCAAGGTTATAAAAAAATGAAATGACCCAAGGCAGTCACTGTCTATAGCCAATCTCTTGCAATGACAAGACGGTGGGTTCAGTTTAGCCAAACCAAAAAAGGCCAAAGTTACTCATCTTTTTCAGGAGGTAGCTAGCTCCTTGGTTCCCATTAGTTTTGCAGACAGACGACACTATAAAGGCAGAGCTTATTGATAGAAAGTGGAACAAAAAGCATAAAATACCTTTTGAGCTATGAGAAGCCATACCAAATGCTGTTAAGTAAAAGCAGTATAAATGAATTTGGTGCCCAGAAGCTAGTTAAATTTAAAAAACAAAATTTATTTTTTAACTATAATATCAATTCAAAATGGTAGACTATATTATTGCTGGGAGTTTTCTCTGATGCAGAGGTCAAAAGAATGAGACAAGGCTTTAAAAGATGTAGGTCTAAAAGACAGGTTAAAAATATTTTCAAACAGGAAGGAGTACAAGATGGAAAATATTCCTGACTTTGATCTAAGTGAGAAAACTTTATCTTCCAGGGTTTGAAGGGTTTTCTTTGGCATTTATTAAATGTCCCGAGAAGTGTTCATCCTTGAAAGATACTGACATTTTCTAGTTAAACTATCATTACCAAATATGGACTTTCAGAAGTCTGCGATTTCCTGATAGTAGAGCTACATAACCAAATGACCAAATAAGCCACACACACAAAAGAGAAGAACTTCAATGTAGGAAAGAAGATTTGTGGTCTTACAGACGTGGCTACCTACTCCTGTATTCTCCAAATGACACTTAGGTTATATGCAAGATACATCTCCTTACCAGGACATTTGCTTCCAAATGCAATGGAAATACATGTGGAAATTCTGCAAATGTTGGAAATAACTATCCTAATTCTTACAGCGTGCAAATGCTCGCAAATGCAACAGGTTATTTGTTAAGAGAAAGTTACCTTAGAGGTCATAGACAGTGATGCCCTAAACTATAATGTGGAGATAAAAGAATAATCTTAAAAACTTCTACTTCATAGAGAAATACACATTATTTATCAAATTAAAATATCTTATCATAATTTTATATCTAGATAGAAACTTCACATACTCAAGATTCAGCATTCTAGCAGCAGTTCTCCTTTCACTGCCAAGATACCTGCGACATACCTTATGTGCAAAAATAAAGTAAGATGAATAAATCATTGACGTAGATGATAGTCACACACAATATTTTTGATAAACATATACATATATATATATATGATGTATAGCAATTGAAACAATAAGAGTTTCCACTACTGAATGCCTACTATATACCAAAAAGTCTATTGGACAGCTCTGTATGTGATTGCATTTTATCCGTCTGATAGCATCAAGTCAGTACTATTAACCAGGGTTGCCCAGATGGACAGAGACTAAGACATGTTAAATCATCCACCAGATGTTACACAGTTAGTGGCAGGGCTGTGATTCAAACCTAAGTCTGTTGGTTTCCAAAGTCTTTGATCTTTCCACAGTATAATAAATCACAGTGGTTGGGGGATGAGGGGAATCACACCTGAACCATCTAGTAGCCTTGGCGGTTTGGAGTAAACTATCTGTTCTCTTCAATTCAGTGCCTCTCTTTATAAAACATGTAAGTAAAGAAGCCCTTCCTGGGGTGAATCTGAAAGTTAATATAACGTGTGTGTGCAGTACGTTGCAAGTAGAATGCTCTTAATATTCACTGCTTAGATTTTTCCCAATGCATCTCACGTGCCATTGCAGCAGTCCTCCAGATAACGGATGTAAAGGACATCTGAGCAGGTCAGCTGGCACTGTAGTTAAGAGATTGAATCATGGACTGTTGGAGCAACAAAGTAACTTCAATTAGATCCAGCTCAATACCTCCACCAAATAGCTACAGAAATCGAGGGACAGAGATTTAACCATAACAATTATGTGGGTGCACATCTTGAACCACCTTGATCAAAAGCCTTTCTTTTTCTCTCTTACCCTGGCTTCTCAGTTCTCCTTCAGCACCTTTGGCAAAAGAGAGGTAAATGCCACCGAGAGAATTAAACGATGCCACCTGACTTAGGAACGAGAGTGGGAGATACCTGGGGACTTTAGTGACCTGCATCAATCACTGTGAGGTGGGTAGGAGACCTGCTTCTGACTGTTCACATAGCAGGTGTCCTCTCAAAGAGAGGTACAAAAGACAAATCTCAACTGACGTTGTTGCTCTTGGCCATTAAGGCTTTTTTTCATACCAGTGACCCCAGGCGACAGAACTGAACGGCTTGCTCAGTTCTAGGCTCTTTTCCAGGCTGTAGTCTCTATGGGAGCAGACGGCCACATACATCTATTCTATCAGAGAGCTCCTGAGGGGGGTCAAACTGTCAACCTTTCGATTAGCAATTGAGGGGCTTACCCACTGCACCATTCAGACACCTTACTCTACTGATGTGGTTAGGTGCCATCAAGTCAGTTCTGACTCAAAGTGAGCCTGCGAACGACACAACATAACACTGCCCAGTCCTGGACCACTCTCACCATCATTCCTATGTGTGAGTCCACTGTTCTAGCCACGGTGTCAGTCCATCTCGTTTGGCCTTCCACTCTTTCACTGACCT